TTCGGGGAGACCAGATATAGTGAATGCAGGGTTCGGGGAGACCAGATATAGTGAATGCAGGGTCCTGGGAGACCAGATATAGTGAATGCAGGGTCCGGGGAGACCAGATATAGTGAATGCAGGGTCCGGGGAGACCAGATATAGTGGATGCAGGGTTCGGGGAGACCAGATATAGTGAATGCAGGGTCCTGGGAGACCAGATATAGTGAATGCAGGGTCCGGGGAGACCGGATATAGTGAATGCCGGGTCCTGGGAGACCAGATATAGTGAATGCCGGGTCCTGGAGACCAGATATAAGTGGATGCAGGGTCCTGGGAGACCAGATATAGTGAATGCAGGGTCCTGGGAGACCAGATATAATGGATGCAGGGTCTGGGGAGACCAGATATAGTGAATGCAGGGTTCGGGGAGACCAGATATAGTGAATGCAGGGTCCTGGGAGACCAGATATAGTGAATGCAGGGTCCTGGATTTAACAACATTTGAACATTGGCACCCGCAACAGCATGAACGGAATACGACTGTGAAACGGTGCTGGAAATGTACAGGAATCGCTGCAAATCCCACACCACATCAGTGTGAACAAGCCCTTAGGGGTGCCTTGGCAAAATGCCTAAAAACTGACAAAAATTGCACCAAAATTGTCAACAAGCTGGCAGGTAAATCAGGCGTGACTTTTTCATTACACAAAGCCACAAGTTTTTATTGTGCAACATTACAAGTTTGGTTACCATGCAGGCCAGCTGCTGGCGTCCTAACCAATGACGTCATATGTTGATAAGGAGGATATCAGGGACCTGAGGACGTCCTAGTTTACCCCTAACCTGCCCTTCTCCATCAGCATTGGGGGTCACCTTGACTGAATGAGAAATTGAGGGAGAAGTGAGACACTGAAATACTAGTCAGTACCAGTGTGCAATGGTGTATTTGCTTTGTAAAAAATACACCTCCAATGTTGGGTGTCCTATATGTGTGAATGCTGCTGCATTATGTAAAACAATTCATTTAGTTTTCTACATTATAGAATGGGGTGCTTGAGATTCTGCAACATTTAAAGGGTACATTGACTTTAAAAGGTTACAACACTATTATAATGTATCCCTTTTAACCATCTCACAAAGTTGGGAGAAATGCTGACACTGTAAACATTGTAATCACATTCTTTTGAAAACAATGCAGTTGGCCTTTCTATATGCAACATGTTTAGGACAGCAATTTGGCTGTAAGTGCAGATATTTCAGGAGCAGACAATAAAAAAGCAAGTGCGCATAACCTGATATTTGTAACTGTACTGATATCACCCACTGGTTCAGTTGGAGCAGTGGTTCTCAACTTGTGGGTCGCAACCCCTTTGAGGGTCGAACGACCTTTTCACAGGGGTCACCTAAGACCATCGGAACACACATATTTCCTATGTGTAAAGAGCAGCTGCTGTGTTGAAAGCAGCTACTCTGTTAAAAGCAGCTACTGTGTTGAAAGCAGCAGTATTGAAGGTAAAAATGACACTCATGAATTATAATTACTGGGTAAATAATTTTATGGTTGGGGGTCACCACAACATAAAGAACTGTGTTAAAGGGTCGCGGCATTAGGAAGGTTGAGAACCACTGAGTTGGAGGAATCTCTTTTCCATAGTTCTTTTCCCATAGGATTTGGTGACCTTGCCCATGCTTGCCACATTGTCTGATGCATTTTCCACAATACAATAAGACCTCATGTAAGCTGAATACATCAGTATCCAAATATTAAAAAAATTTGTGAAAATATAAATAAATGTGTAAAACTTATATGGAAAATTAATACCCTATCCCTTGACACTTAAAAGTCATACTTTCACCACTGAAAGTCCAAAGTTTAAATCATAAATCCTCTTTAGTGTCAGTAAGACCCTTCCAACAATCTTCAAAGTGATAATCCAAAAAAATGAAATCCAATGTCACAGTGTACCTCAAAAAAATACAAAGACTAAAATAGTGTATTATCCTCAGTTTAACAATATATACATACGTGAAAAATGTGAAAAAACACTATATAAACACTACGTGAGAACACGTGATTTTAGTGCAGCACTCCGTGTACACTCCAACATAAAACACTACTCCGTGAACACTTCTATGTGGCTAGAGCAGGGTCGGACTGACAACTCATGGGGCCCCCGGGCAATAGGGGATCATGGGGCTCCTGTGTCCTTGCCCAAACTCAAAAAGCCTATGAAAAAGGTACCAGGGGCATCTCATGGGGCCCCCTACTGGCTCCGGCCCTCGGCAGCACCCGAGTTTCCGAATGGTCAGTCCGCCCCTGGGCTAGAGTGAATACTCTTACAATCAAAATGTGATCAAAAAGCCTTATTCAATTGCCACCACTCCTTCATTAACTCCTCCAACCTTATGTCAATTGCCAGACATTCTATGCTTCCATTTGATATATATCCTCCCCCAGCCAATCACAGGTACACACCCATGGAAAAGAGAGAATAGCTATATAGAGTAATATGTCACATAAATATATCCAGACTTTTATTGGTTGTGCTTACATGTAAATCATGATATAACCCACATAAAACCGTTTCAAATTCCCATTCCCACCTGCAAAGCAGCGCAATCGGCATTCCTGGAAGCTGCTTTGCAGGCAGGAATGGGAATTTGAAACGGTTTTAAGCGGTTTTAAATGAACGCATAGAAGTGTTCATGGAGTGTTCACAGAGTAGTGTTTTATGTTGGAGTGTACACGGAGTGCTGCACTAAAATCACGTGTTCTCACGTAGTGTTTATATTGTGTTTTTTTTTTCACATTTTTCACATATGTATATATTGTTAAACTGAGGATAATACACTATTTTAGTTTTTGTATTTTTTTTGAGGTACACTGCGATATTGGATTTCATTTTCTGGTTTATCACTTTGAAGATTGTTGGAAAGGTCTTATTGACACTAAAGAGGATTTATGATTTAAATAAGACCTCCTGCACACTGGGCATTTTAAAAATGCCGGTAGCATTAGCTGTATAAAGTCATATTAAAAACGCAAGTTTTTCTGTGTTTTTTTTAGTGTTTTTGCATTAGCGTTTAACCGTGTTTTTCCAGCGTTAACGTTTTTATCACAAAAAGAAAATGTAAAACATTTTGCTTCAGAAACACTGGTTTGCTGTGTTTTACCACGTTTACCAGCGTTACAGCATTTTATAGCTAAAAAACTCCTCTAGAGACCCATTAGTCCTAGGGTTTTTTCCAGCCAGAAAACAGGCCTGTCAGAAAAATGCTGATTAAAGCCTATGTGTGCATGGAGACATAGGAAAACATGCTGGGGAGTTTACTGGCTGTAGAAAAAAATGCCAGAAGCCAAAAACAGCCGCTGTAAAAACACCCAGTGTGCATGAGGCCTAGTATTTAGATAAGGGGTCTCCAAACTTTCTAAACAAAGGGCCAGTTTACTGTCCTTCAGAATTCAGGGGGGCCAAACCGTGGCCATTGGGAGTAGAAAATGTTCTGACATCAGTGAGAATAGACGATGCCCCATCTTTGGTGTCAGTGGAAGGGATAGTGCCATATTTTTGGTGTCAGTGGAAAGAATTGCGACCCATTGTTTGCATCAGTGGGAGAAACTGTGCCCCGTCATTGGTGTTATTGAGAGGAATTATACCCTATAGTTGGTGTCATTGGGAAGAATTGTGCCCCATCGTTGGTGTCATTGGGAGGAATTATGCCCCATCATTGGTGTCATTGGAAGGAGTTGTGTCCCTTAGTTGGTGTCATTGGGAGGAATTATGCCCTATCTTTGGTGTCATTGGAAGGAGTTGTGTCCCTTAGTTGGTGTCAGTGGGGGGAATTATGCCTTATTATTGGTATCAGTAGATGAAATAGTGCCCCGAGGGTTGCAAAAAAGCAAGCAAAGGGCCACATTTTGGAGACCACTGATTTAGATAATAGAGGTGGGACCCCCTGTGTTGGTTGTAGGAAAGTTCCGACCTGGGAGCTTAAATGCATAAACTAAAACCTTGGAGTCCTGAGCAATATAATATACAATTTTAGGTTTTAAAATGAAAAAAAAAAAAACACATTTTAAAGTATATGTAAAACCCTCACCTTGTAAAGCAAACCATCCAGTTTTAAAAAAAATAAATGAAAGGTAAAACACTTGTGTATAAATATAAAAACATTATAAATACCTTTTTTTTTATAAGTGATCGTATACCCTTTGTTCTCAGCTGTATAGAGAGGTGAGGATGGAGACACAACAACACACTGGTCTCCCAAGTGAATGGCTGTTCCAGGGGAGGGGGGGTGTCAGGACAAGTCTGATCATTTGAGGAGAGCAGGCTGAGTTCCCAGCACCTAGAGCCAGTCAGTACCTTGATGATTGCTACAGTGCTGTCAGTCACAGATTGAAGATGCCTGCAGGAGAGTAAAGAGGGATGACTTCATCAGTGTGCTGCTACACACTATCCAATCGCCAGGTTGCGGGAGGAGAGGTGACTAAGGAAGAAGAAATTCTTAGTCACCCTTTCATATGGGTAAAAATTATTTTTGAGGGGAAGGAGGACATAAATATGGTTTGTATCATTTATATCTTGAGATTATGATTTTGTAGTCGTAAAGATACTCTATGCACCACTGATACATTTGCCGCACTCCCCCAACCTGTGCCATTATGTCATTGTCCTTGGTAAACACATGGTTCTCCAGGGTGTAGAGGAGAATGTAATCTTCTCCCAGAATGCAGTGCCTTACACGTCGTAGAATTTAATCCTTATGTATATTCCAACACTACACAGGATTATTACTCTTGGCTCCAATGAAGGAACAAAGCAATGTAGTGCAGGTAAGTGATTATCTCTGGGGTTGTCTCTTTCAGGAGGACCTGTCATTTTGCTATTTTAGAGCAAAAACTAAAACACCCTTTTTAACTATTGCAAGTTATTTTAGTCAGTCAGGATTTATATCTTCTTTTGTCAGGACCTCAGCATGGATGTGGTGGTTATCTGACTAATACCACCGGCCATTTCAGATCTCCAGACTCAAATAATGATGGGAAATATGACAAGAACTTGAATTGTGTTTGGACTATCTCAGCTCCTGTAAACAAACAGGTAAAGCTGATGTTTACTGGTTTTATACTGGAAGCAAAGTTCTCGAGAGGATGCGTCTATGACTTTCTCAAGGTAAGAAGACAAACATCCAATATCTACAGTATTCTACTATCAGTGCATTTTCTGTGGGTTCTGAGGAGACATGAGCAAACAGAGCTGATATTTTTCCCAGAGTTATCTGATTCACAGTTGGCAGAGATTACAGACTAAAAACAATGAGGCAATATTTCATGTGTCACCATTTTCTAATTTTCTGCACAAGGCATACAAAAGGGTATACCCCTCCATGACTGTGCAGTCCTAATAACAGTCTGTATGTCCTTTAGCATCATACAAATTCTTCAAGAAGTTGGCACTAAACACATATTTCATAAATTGTGGTCACTTGGCACTTCTGCACCACCACTACTCAAAACTATGGTGTAGGAAGGTGTGTGTGGCAGAAACTGAGAGCATCTTATCTGCTCTATTGGAGTAGGTAGTCTGTTTCCTCTTCTTGATGACCTAGTCAAATGACCCTTTACTATATTACCACTTTATAAGTGAATGCAGAGAAAAGTGTTGGGTATCAGCATAAAAGTGAAGAACATTGGAAATAACCCCTCAGCATCTGTTTACCAATTTCATGACTCACAAAAACCTCTCGATGGAATGTTGTCCATTCATGCATTCTGTGCTAGTCCAATAACTTTCCCAAGGGTTACATTTGGAAGTGCTATCCCTCCCGCATTATTATTGAGTCATTTCGAACCCCACATTGACTGATACTCATAAAGATCCATATTATGACACTTGGATGGGACTCTTGTGGCGTAGGATTGTTTCCATTTCTATGGAAAATGTAGAGTGATTGCTCATTGGTTGCTTGCTCATTCTTAGAGCTGTCCATGAGTAGTCTTTATCAAGATCCTATTGAATCCTCTGACTTTTGACAGGATGAGGTTCGTAGCCATTATAAAACCCTAAACTGGAAGACCAGGGTGTCTCAGATTATCTAGGCCAGGGGTCTCCAAACTTTCTAAACAAAGGGCCAGTTTACTTTTGTTCAAGTGGGGGGGGGGGGGTTGTGGCAATTGGGAGTATAAAGTGTTCAGGCATCAGTGGGAGTAATGTCTCAGGCTTGGCAGTAGGTTGGAGTAAAAGCATTTCATAGCACCTGTAGTCAGTAGGAGGAGGATTGTGCCCCATTATTGGTATAAGTGGGAGGATTAGTGCTCTTTCATTGGTATCAGCAGCAGGAATTATTCCCTATTGTTGGTGTCAGTGGAATGTACAGTCCCATGTAAAAGTGGGAGGAAGAGTGCCCCAAGGGCTATATTAAGGCAAGCAAAGGGGCAAATGTTTGGAGACCACTCATCTAGGCCATTGCTGTGGACATTTTTCCTGGCATGGATGGCCCTCCTGAAAGCAGTAGAACTACCATATACCTTTCAGCATGATTTTATCACACAAGCCCAAGCACTATGTCAAAATAGCAATACCTTTGGGACATTTATGTTGTTTGGCCATTTTCAATGCAAATAGGGCTTACTGAAGTTTATTTTTTTCACTTTTGTGGGCAAGGATTTTGTGTTCTTGTTTTTTAATATTTGTTCTGATATTAGTATTGTTTATCTTAGATTTTTGATGGTGGCAGCACAAACAGCACCCTACAAGGTACATTCTGTGGCAGTAACATGCCTGCAAATTTCATTTCTACCAGCAACTTCCTGACGGTCTGGTTTTTCAGTGATTCAACAGTGGAATGGGCAGGATTCAGTGCCACATATGAGTTTACTGATTGTAAGTAGTACTAAACCACTGAAGAGTGAGTCTGTGTGAAAACTCATTTCTGGAGTCCCCTAAAGTTACAAGTTGCCATAGAGCTATTTATCCAACATTATCCACTTATAAGTGAAATATTAATTTTGTTTTGACCTAGCCTTGACAATGAACCCTCCAGTTAGTATAAACTTTTAAAAGTAAATCCACCTAAGAGCAGATGCTACATAATACCATCACTGCAAAGAAAATAAAAGGAATTTCCGAGCACACTTAGTCCTCATGCACACGGGACGTTTTGATAACGTTGGTAACATTAGCTGTGTAAAATCACGTTAAAAAAGTGCGTTTTTCAGTTTTTTTTAGTGTTTTTGCATTAGCATTTAGCGGCATTTGCTGTGTTTTTCTGCGTTTGCATTTTTTAGCTTTTTTTTTACATAACAAATATTTTTTGGTCCAAAAAAGTCCAAAAACTCCAGTTTGCGGCGTTTTACTACATTTTTTTTAGCATTTTTTAGTATTAGAGCATTTTTACAGCTAAAAAACTCCTCTAGAAACCCACTAGATCTGTTTTTTTTTTTTTCAGCCACAAAATGTTGATTACAGTCTATGTGTGCATGGACACATAGGATAACATGCTGGGGGGGTTTACTAGCTGTAGACAAAAATGTCATAAGCCAAAAACAGCCGCTATAAAAACGTCAAGTGTGCATGAGGACTAAAGCCTCATGCACACTAGGCATAAAAAAATGGCACTTTTTCACATTTCACTTTTTTTTTCTGTCGCTAAATGCCCCTTCATATTAGTCTATGTGTCCATGTGCATATAGGCATTTACAGGCGTATTAGAGTGTTTATAGCCAGAAGAGAGAAACCTAATTCAGAAGAGGAGTGTGTGGGTAGAAAAACATGCCTAAAAACAATTAAATGCCTTTAGCTCTGGAGCGTGCATTCATTCCAATGGCCAGAATATTAACTATTAAAATGAATGCAAACCTAAACTCTTGACATGTGTAAATGTGCCTAAATACACCTAAACGCTCCTGCAAAACATGCCTTTGGGCACATTTGTTAATCTGCTTTTCTACTGTCAGGAGAAAAGGCATTCAGAGGAGCTGGGCAAATGCAGTGTGCATGAGGCCTTACTAAAAGAAAAATATTCCTGCGCCAAATACAAAGTAAATCACCCTTCTAAATTGCTGCTGTGCAAAAAATGTGAATACACAAACAATGAAATATATAAATAAACAGCGCAAAATAGACCTAAAATCAAATATTAATAAATCACACAAAATATAAATGTCCCTTATCAATAAGTGCATATCTGTGTCAGAGAAAAATTTCTTTCAAGAAAAGGACATCATAAAAAGTCCCTTGTGGTGAAAAATACGAACTTCAAATAATTTTTCTAGCCTTCCACCTTTCACCCGTGCACACCAAAATCAAATGCACTCACCAGATTTTGGTGAATGAAAAGCCTTTAGGATCTTTATGGGGAATCCTATACCCTCTTTTCATCAGCTCAATGATAGCCTCTCCAAGATAAGATCCTCTTACAGGTCCTCACCGTGGCTCCCTAGTTTGCTCCACCGTATCATCAAAGAGAAAATTTACATAGTGTAATATTGCCAGATCAATCTTATACCATAACGAACAGAATCCAGGCCACTCACATTTCAATAGCTTGTAAAAGGCACATTTATTAAGCCCATGACATCCTGATGATCAAAACCAGCCAACATACTCCAGGGTTCCCACACCAATGTAGCCAGATAGAGCAGAGGAACAGCAGAGAGCCAGCCTAAATCCCGCAAAATGGCTGCTGGAACGCACTGCTCGGCGTGCGTTCCACTCACCGGAAGTGACATCAGACGTAAGGCGAATACACCGGAAATGCCGCATTTCTTGGAGAGGCTATCATTGAGCTGATGAAAAGAGGGTATAGGATTCCCCATAAAGATCCTAAAGGCTTTTCATTCACCAAAATCTGGTGAGTGCATTTGATTTTGGTGCGCACGGGTGAAAGGTGGAAGGCTAGAAAAATTATTTTGAGTTCATATTTTTCACCACAAGGGACTTTTTATGGTGTCCTTTTCTTGAAAGAAATTTTTCTCTGACACAGATATGCACTTATTGATAAGGGACATTTATATTTTATGAGGCCTTACTAGCTAGCCAGCAGAAAAACAAGTACACTGCCAAGCAATTTGCATTAAAAACAGAGAGTTTAGTTGCACAACATTTGCAATTATATGTGGAAGCCGCACTGCCTTATCAAGGCCCCCCTGTATAGTGCAATCCTAACTCTAGTCTCTATAGCACCTACCATTACCTTTCTAGCCTCTTACAAATGTTCCTGGATCAATTTGCTACCGAGAGAGTGCCTTCCATAGGTAAGACCCACCCCCCAAGTTATGCCCCATCCACCAATCATTCCCCTGACCAGTGACAGTGACCTTTTTAGGCACCAAAAAGGGCCTTAACGGTAGGGAAGTGTGGACCTAGAAGTGGCTTTACTGGTTACGTATTGTGTATGAATGTGTACAGTATATCTGTTCAGTTGTATCCATCCCTCTGCTGAATTAGCTTTAGATAGGACTTTTACTTCTAAAACTTTAAACAACGAACAAGTTTACTCTAATATCACATTTCAGGAAACAAAATGTTTTAATTTCTATTGGCCACCTAGCTCCTGAAGTCAATGGTTATCAGTATAGGCTTTTGGGTCCTTGGTTCTAACCTCATCAGAGAGACTACCCGCTAAAAGCTTGGATGTTTGTGAAAATTTTCTATGTACAAAAATGTATAGTTAGATGAATTGTTTTTTGACCCTGAATTATGTAGGTATGCCTGCATTATGTTGTATGTTCTGCTGTGGCTGATTCATTGTCTCCTGTAGAGAATGTCTGTAATATCAAAGTGAATTCTTTTGTTTGTTTCACAGTATTATGTGGAGGCATCTATAATGCAACATCTTCTGAAACAACGATGACATCCCCAGAGTCCTATCCGCCATTCACATCTTGTGTCTGGACTATTGATTCCCCGCCACAGGAAAGAGTAACGCTGACAGTTCAGAACTTTAGCCTCCCGTCTGGTCTGGACTGTTCTGAGAATTATCTGGAGCTCGCAGACTTACCTGTGGTAATACAGTTTATTCTTTTTACGAAAACAAAACAGCAAGCATGATTTGCTGGTTCCACACTTTCCTTGAAGTGCTGATGTCCTGGGTGCCCAATCCCACTTGGGATGCTTTCTGCATGGAGTTTGCATGCTTTCCCACTGTCTGTTTGAATTTTCCCAAAGCACTCCTTACTAAAGGAGGTCTCAATTTAATTAAGTGTTAGGGGAGGCTGAGGGATGCTGCATGCATAAGGTTTTTTACCTTCATGCATAGAATGCATGAAAGTAGAAAACCTTGAGCCTTTACAGCCATCTGCATATAATTGGGTAAGCAGTGTGTACATGACTACAATTTATTGAGCAAAGATTCTAAACTCCTTCAGTAAATTACTCACGATAAATGCTTAGTGGTCCCTGCTCAGGCTAACAGGGTCTGATGAATTGGATGCCGCTGACTAGTGAGGGTGCAGGCTGGGGAAAGGTTCGTCCAGACCCAAAGCACACCTCACCCGAATGGGGAAAGAACAAAAAGAGGGCGCACAGGCCTAGTGCATTACCATAAAAAATGTTTAATAATAAATAAAGTAGGTGTTGTACTCACAAACGACAATATAGTCAAGGCACATCATAGAAGAACAGCTGGATCAACACCGCGCTGAGTAACAGTCCACAATAGGGAGTTTAGACATCCAAAAGGCTGACGCGTTTCGAGGACTTGCCTCTTCCTCAGAGGCCTGAGTGGTTGGTAGGTAATATCAGCCTCATCTAAGCCACACCCCCAACATGTTAAGCCATGAAACATGTTGGGGTCATGGCTTGGATGAATCAAGCTGAGGATGCTTTTACCTGCTAAGCCTGGGCGAGGTGCACGACGGCCAGACTATCTCTCTTATTTCTACAGTGTCCCTTGGAGACTCAGAGGGGGTTATTTAGTAAAATTTGAGAGTGCAAAATCTGGTGCAACTCATAGCATAGAAACAAATCCGCTTCCAGGTTTCATTTCCAAAGTTTAATCGGGCAAGCTGAAGTTAGAAGTTGATTGGCTATCATGCACAGATGCACCAGATTCTGAGTGCACCAATTTTAGTAAATCTCCCCCATACAGTCTAAAGCCACTGAAGCAAGGAGCTTTGCACATTTTGGTGGTTGGATGCATATTGGCATGCTGGCATGAACATTGAATTCAGTGTTTTTGTTATAGATACCTGTTGCCAGGGGCGGACTGACAACTCATGGGGCCCCCAGGCAATAGAGGATCATGGGGCCCCTGTGTCCTTACCCTAACTCAAAAAAGCCTATGAAAAAGGTACCAAGGGCATGTCATGGGGCCCCCTACTGACCCCGGGCCCTCAGGTAGTGCCTGAGTTTCCAAATGGTCAGTCCGCCCCTGCCTGTTGCCTTCCCTTGCTTTCCTGTGTGGAATGGCAACCAGAATGCTCTGGCACTGGAATTTTTTCTTATCTATAGCAGTGCAAACGTGGCCTTTTAATTACATATAACAACTGCTCAGAATGTATGCTTTTTGTTTTCATGTCTTAGTTATACAAATTTGTCACTTCCGTTTCTCTATTTGCAGGGTGACTTTGGGAAAGTCCAGAAATTCTGCGGTAATGAAACAAATAAAATACCTGACTTTTACTCCTACGGACGTACAGCTGCCATTACATTTAAGTCACAAGAATACACGCCTGGCAGTAGGCTCACCTTTACCTATCAAGTCACAAGTAAGTCTCTTCCCTAAGTGTTCATTAGTAGTTTTTTGTTTTTGTTTTTTTTTGCAGGAAAATCAGAAAATATACCATTTTTTTTTTATAAACCTCTTTATGGGATTTTGAAGGCCACCAAAAACACAAACCATTTTCCTTTGCTTTAGGAAAATCAGAAAATAACACAATGTTTTATGAAACATATCTGTGTATTATTTCACCAGCAATTATATTAAAGTGTTCCTGTATACTAAATTTTTTAAGTTATTCTCCTGCCATGAGCAAATATCACACGCTGTCTTTATTACCCAGGAAAGCCTTCTGTGCTCCTCTCTCTGCAGTCAGTTTAATGCCCCCAGCAACCACTCTGATTTTATTTTTCTTGTTTCTATTGTAGTCTTGGAGGATCTATGGGAGTATCTAGTTGCTATGACCAATGGGATCACCTTGGGATTTTTTTCAAAAATGCAGTGCCAAGTGTACTGTTAATTGTGTTTCAATCGACATACACTAACCAGATATCACATTATTTTTCTCAGGTCAGTTGGTTACTGAACTTTGCCCATGACCACTTCATTTTGTCAATTAAAGTGCCAGTCTACCCAAAAGTGATATTTTGGATAGATTGCTAAACAAAGTCAACATTTAGATTATTACACAGAATGTCCTGGGTACTACAAGAGTGTTATCTCCTTGCCACAATTCTTGACTTTTTTCCTATGCAGCTAGGAGGTTTGGTATGAGGGCCCAGGGACTCAAGCATAGAGATCTCACCAAAACAGTCTTTTAAAAATATAGAAGAAACTGAAACATTTTTAGGTGGACTGACCCTTTACAGTGTATGCCTGGGCAAAAAAAATTGCAATATGCAGTACATGTCCCCATGTTTTATCTTTAATTTAAGCAAAGAAAAACACTTGATCTGCCATAAATCTAGTGTAGCCCCCTTGTCCTAAACTGCTACAATGTCAATTTATTTTTTGGCTGGGCTGGAATTAGCTTGGATTGATTGTATAGTTTTTCCCCCAAGCTTAAGTTGGCTTGTGATTTCTCACTGTTGTCAGTAGATGTCGCTGGTATCACTGGTCATCACTAAGTTATGAATATTTATTTTTTCTTCAGCCAATCCAGTAGGAAGTTTATGACACTGGTGCACTGGGGGGGGGGGGTATAAATATTTGAGATAGGCAATGTGCTTATTCTCTTTTCTGGCATGAGACCTGGAGTAGTGCTGCAGGATGGAGCTCTGCTGTTAGGCCCAATAACCCGTTTTAGAGCCTAACATGTGCTGAAGTGATCCTGAAGCTGTCCTGGCTGGTCTGGAGGAAGCTGTGGCAAGGAGAAGAGCCGAGGAGGGGGCCCTTGCTAGAAAGAGCCAGGAAGAATGATGGTCTCTCAGAAGGGCCTGGTGACTCACTTGGAGTGCACACTGAAATTTAGGAACATGCTTACAGTGTTGCTGGGTTGGCTTAAATGTCCTGGCACTGTGAAGCTTGACATTGATCTGGAGTGTCTGTAAGTGACTTGCTACAGTATCTGGGACACCTAACCCTCACCTCCTTAACCTTTCTGCATTAAAACTTTAAAAAGACAAATGACTGATGTGACAAATGCGGTGCCTGACCCCTGCCCTTCTCACCAACTCGTGACAAAGGACCAGCCAATCTCACACCACGCTGTCACTTGCGTAACAATGCCACTCTCAGCTGTACCCTTCACTAAGATTTTCCAGCTTGCAGGACCACAATCTATGTGCTAGCAACCTGAGAACGATTGTCACGGGATTAATTAATTACGCAATTAACCCTTCAATCTCCAAACTGCCACCAGATAGTTTTGGGACTATCAACCCTTCACAATGTTAGCAAGAACAAATGTGTAACACACACTGTCATCACAGACAGGTATATTCAGAGGATTATTATATACAATAGCACTCTTCAAGAGACAGGGATTCTTTAGTTTGCATTAAAAGCTTTAGAGACAGTTTCAAAAATTTTAAAAATAGGGTTTATTACTAAAAAGGTCAAAATAATGCAATTAAAATATTTATAGAAAGGGATGTTACAAAAAGATAAAGAGAACAATAATTCAACAGAGAAATAAAAGAAAAGAGTTATGAATACTTGCAAAGTCCAATTGTCAGTGCAAAGACTTTGCCTTGGCTCTCAAGTCCGTTAAGATGTTCCTTGGTTGATGTTAAACGAGAGCTCACCTACTAGATCCGGTCAGTCCCTTTCTATGATATCAAAGGTGTATCACCCGAAAACAACCGACCAATCATCCTGTTAGGGTTCTAGGAGGTCACCAAATTTATGATCCAACTACAGTTTCATACTAATAACAACTTCCAGTATGTGCAGGTGGTATTCTACCAACTGGCAGATTATTATTCAGAATTATATTTCAAACCCATTGATACCAAACACAGCATACTTTTGTCATCCAGGAGGTAGGAGACTGCTTTCTCCCCTTTTCTATGTGCTAACATAGTCAGGTATGACCTTGCTTTGTTCCCTATTTAAATATATACCCAATAATAATGTGCCCTGTTCCTGTTGAATTCTGTGAATTGTATATGGAATTGTTACATGTGGAATAGACGTTTTATGGCACGCTCTGCATTCCTAGAGCCTTAATGGCCTTACAGGTCATGTGTGACTGCTTGAATGAGTTATTGTTTTACGATAGGGCAGAGAAAAGTGTTTTCCATGGTTCGTGGAAACAGACATCCTGGTCTGCACACTGGGTCTATTTGTGTTTTAATTAAGATAAGAGGTTCTTTTGAAGTTTGTTAAAAGTTACAACGACAAATTCCAGTTTTCAGGAGGGAGGAGGGGATGAAGATCATTGCTCATGAAAAACAAAAATGGCTGTCGCGTACAGGTTTCTTGTCCCTATTGCACACACTCATTACAACTGGCACCTGGTATCCATTCTCATTCCCCCAATTTATCCATGGATTCAGCACTGGGGTGAAATGCTAACCTGCCCCTGCCTCTGGAGGTGCTATCCTGCCTTTGGGGTGTCAGAGGGATGCTACACCAGTGAGCTCTAAGGGTCCATTCACACCTGTGCATTTTTATGTGCAGTGCATTAAAAAATGTTCAGCATGCTGCATCTTTGAAGTGCGATCATCACAACCCACTTTATAGAGTTCAAAGGTAACTTGCTTAAAACACATGTAAAATGCACCACACAGATGTGTACTGGCCCCTAACTTCCTGTTTGGACTGACAACACAGTGCTTTTGCTACACTGAAATCCCAACCAATGTTGTCATACTGTGGTTGTTTTTATATTATTTATAAACTATCACTGCCCTTCCCTTTTTGCCCACTCTGAAATAGGAACGACCATTATTACCAACAGACAACTAACCATTGGGAATAGGAAGCGTTCCCCAGATCAGATGATTCACTGCAGACCTGTATTATGCACATCACTTCAAAAACCACATTTTTACAAGAACAGTATTTGCTAGGTATATGAAAGTATATTAAAGTATGGAACAGAAGGTTCTAGGTCCAGGATTCCAGCTCTGGTATCTTTTGTTGAAGGGATGTTAGTATTCTGTGATTAGGTGAGTAACTAGGCTTAAAGTTACATTAGAGAGGGTTAGTGTTGGGGTTATAAGAAGGAGCAATGTTAGGCAGTTACCTGGGGGTTAGTGTGAGAGCCACACTGACCATGACTTCTAGTATGGGGGTACAAGTTTGTTTAGTATGTGTTACTGGGATTTGGTTTTAGGTGACTGAGAGGGTTAGTGTTATTGTTAGAATTACAGGGAGGGATGATCTAAGGCCTAGTTCACACAATACATTTTTAGGGCATTTTGTAGAAACACGCTGCAGTCCATTTAATATGGTTTCCAAAGTCACATCCAAGTTGCACCCATTCAGAGTTGCATCTAAGTTGCATCCAAGTCACCCCCATCCAAAGTTGCACCAAAGTCGCATGAAAGTGGTATCAAAGTTAATATTTTCCTATTGGCTAAAAAACAAATACCCATAAAAATGTGATAAAAACACGTCAAAAACCTGTGTTCAAAAACACAAAATGCGCAGGTAAAATGCATCAATCACAACACATAGAGGTGTGAACCTAGCCTAAGGGTTGGGGTCACAAGGATATTTAGTGTGAGTTTGGGGTTACTGGGAGGAATAGGATGAGGGTCACAGGGAGGTGTAGTGCAAGTGTTTAGAGCAAGAGTTAGGCTGGCCATACATTATACAATTTTCTTGAGTTTTTTTGGTTTAGATTTACCAAAAACCATATAATAGGAGGTCAAACCTAACAACACTTTCAATTGTATCCAATTAGGCAGGCTCTTGCACTACATATTTGAAGGTAAATCTAAAGGAAATTTTGCAGAAATTGGAAAGAAAAGTGTATAGTGTATGGCCAGTCTTAGGCTAGAACACCAACCACAGTTTTGAAGTAAGGACAACTAATATATTATGATTATGTATATTAAAAAGGTTTACAAAGGTACAATGAATACTGTAAGGCCTCATGCACACAAATGTAAAAAAAAAAAAAATTGCTCTGAATATGCTGGCAGAAGTTTGAAGACAAATTCCTCTAATGCAGCATTTTTATCCACATGTACGCACGTATTGCATTTAGATGCATGTAAAATGATTCTTTTGGCTAGAATATTTATTTATTCTAGTCACTAGAATAAATTTAAGGGCATAAGCATGCATTTAGATGCATTTATGCATGCACGAGTATAAATTACGCTGGAAAACTCTCTGAATGCAGGTTTGGGGCATATTTTTTTTCGTTTCCAATGTTTTTCCAATTTATTTATTATTTAAATTTCAAGGTGGAAGTACAAAACACGAGAGCTATGCATTTTTATTCCCCTGAATGTTGCACTCAAATATGCCTGTAAACGACTTTCAGAGGCATTAAAAAAATGCCAGACACCCCTAGCAGTGGATGGGAAAATATAGAATACAAAATTGTGCTCTCCCCTTAATAATCTCCCCCATCTGATGGTAGTCCTGAGCCTTGGTCCGGTCCCAAGTCCCCCTCTCTATTCTGGTAGTCACACGCTCTGTACACCCCCCCCCCCCCCCTTTTTTTTTTCCCCTTTTCTTGCTCTTTTTCTCTTACTCCGACCGTTCACACTATTCCAATTGTTTTTTCTTTGCCTTCCAAGGAACCCATCCATATGTCCTAGGAGTACAACCCATTTGTTTCCATTTAACAATACCCTGCTCCTTTTATTTTGCATTACTATCTCCCGCTCGTTGTGGTTTCTCCTATGTTTACAAAAGTTGGAACTTTAACGTTGGCCACCAGGCCTCATGCCTTAATTCTTTTCTATTGTGAACGTACTTTGCATATTGTTTGTATGCCATGTAACTTTAAACTCCAATATAAAGTTTGAACAAGAGAAGAATACAAAATTGTAACAAAAGTATACAGTTTACCTGGTAACATAATCATACTTGTAAGTATAGCAAGGTGTCTGAGCATGCCAAAAAAAGAGTGGAATGGTTTCATGGTTAGAAAGGTTAAGGGTCAGTTGGGTAAGGGTTGATGTGGGTGTAAACAAAGAGTCTTAGGGTGAGGTGTTAGGGTTAAAATGAGGGTAGCTAGGAGTTTTGGGTTACTGGGAGGGTTAGTGTCAGTGTTGTGTGGTTACAGGTAGGATTAGAGTCTCCCTGCACTGAAATCTAATATATTGTCAATAAATGCTTGAGTAACAACATTATCCTTTTGTATACCACAGACTGCAGCAGAGAATATAATCAGTCATTTGGATATTTGAAAAGTCCAGGTTGGCCGGAAAATTATCCGAATAGGATAGAATGTACAACAATCCTCCGCGCTCCAGACAGCCACTCCATATCTCTCTTCTTCAGTGCCTTCCATCTTGAACCATCATTCTTTAGTTGTCATGACTACCTCGAAGTAAGCTTTGTTATAAATCACTGCATACCTAGACATTTATATTTAACACTATGCTTATTAATAGAGATGAGCGAATCGAACATGACGAAGTGGAATTCGTTTCGAAGATTGGGAAAAATTCAATTCGCGACGAATCCGAAGATTAGCAAACTTCGGAGGCACGAATCGAATTTTCCCAAAAATGGCAGCGACATGTGTGGCGACGGAGCGGGGATCTCTGGGAAGGCGCGCAGACAAGGCGCGCTGACCCATAATGCATTCATTCATGACATGTGATCGCATTAGCCAATCAGCAGCCAGCCAGCCAGCACTGTGTAATGGTGGAGCTATAAATCGTGGCCATCTTAGAATTCTCCATTAGCCTCCGGTCATTCAAGAGAGACAGACCTGTCTGTATGAAGAGACAGAGTTAGGGCCACAGAGACTTTAGGGCCACAGAATCGTTACTCAGGGACACAGAATCGTTACTCAGGGACACAGAATCGTTTACTCAGGGACACAGAATCGTTACTTAGGGCCACAGCTATCAAAGAATCGAAAATTTAAAGTGACATACACCCTTTTTTTTTTTGGTGGCTGTCGTGCACAGTTGGTGCTGCAGTTTGCCGATTGTGCAAAATAAACTGACTTTCTGCTTCACAACCACTATTGTACGTTCAAAGAGTTAAATCCATTTACATGCCGGCTGGCGGTAATATTTTTTGGGTGATTAGTGCATTCCAGTGACATAAACGTACAGTTTCCAGCCAACGGCAAGCTGCAATTGACCGATTGTGTACAATAAACTGACTTTCTGCTTCACAACCACTATTGTACGTTCAAAGAGTTAGATCCATTTACACGCCGGGTGGCGGTAATATTTTTTGGGTGATTAGTGCATTCCAGTGACATAAACGTACAGTTTTACAGCCAACGGCAAGCTGCAATTGACCGATTGTGCTAAATAAACTGACTTTCTGCTTCACAACCACTATTGTACGTTCAAAGAGTTAGATCCATTTACACGCCCGGGTGGCGGTAATATTTTTTGGGTGATTAGTGCATTCCAGTGACATAAACGTACAGTTTCCAGCCAACGGCAAGCTCCAATTGACCGATTGTGCTAAAATAAACTGACTTTCTGCTTCACAACCACTATTGTACGTTCAAAGAGTTAAATCCGGTTTTATTTTTGGGGTGCTTATTGAATTAAAGAGTATGTCAGACAACACGCAGAGGAGTGGCAGAGGAGGCAATGTTTCAGGAGCGAGCAGACGTGGCAGCAGAGGAAGGGGTCGAGGCAGCACTAGTCGCAGCCAGAGGCCAGTGCTCCCGGTGTCATCCAGCGGTCGTGTCTCCACCGACAACCCTGCCGTCATCGATTGGTTGACTCGGTCGTCTTCCTCTTCCCAGGTCACCTCTGACACCTACAGCCAACGGTCGGTGGGTACGTCAGACACAACCGTTAGTTGGCATGGCCCGGGAGCAAGCCCACTGAAATCACGTGTCCTCTACCTGCCCCTGTCCTTTGGTGTTCCCTCACCAAGCGAAGTATCGCATGCTGTGGGCTCAGCCCCACTGTACAGTGAGGAAGAGCTAACAGAGGGCGGTCAGGAACTGGGGGAGACATCCGCCTCTTCAGCAGCCAGGCGAAGAAGTACTGGCGAGGAGAGTGGCTCGGTAGCCGGTCTAGAGACAGGTCTGTCTCCTGACCCCCACACGCAGCCGAGGGGGCTAGTAGTGACGCGGAGACCCTAATTGATGATGATGAGGCTGATCGCACTTGGCAGCCTCGTCGTCATCAGGCTATTGCTTCCGCATCATCAGGAGAAGAGGGTGCCAGCTTGCCAGCGAGCAAAACAGTCGGTGGGTTGCCCAGGAGGCAGCAGGGTCGCAGCAGTGTCAGTGGAGCCAAACGGCCACGGAGTAGAGCACCAGCTCCACTGCAGCCTACCACCACGGCCAGTAGTGGTGCCGGTGTGCACGGAGGAAGTAGCAGTCAGCAGTGAGAGTAGCGGGGGCAAAGTTTCCTACTCGGCGGTGTGGCAATTTTTCGTCAAGCCGCCCGAGGAAGTAAACGTAGCCGTATGTCGACTATGTGGCCAGAAAGTCAAGCGTGGCCAGGGGGCCAATGTTGGGACTACAGCGTTGCGTCAGCATATGCAGCGTCGCCATTCGGTGGCCTGGGAAAACCGTGATAAAGATACGGCGGTTTCTGCCTGCCCCAGCCCCCCTCCCACACCCGCTCCGTTACTTGCTCCGTCACCCGACGTCAATCGCCCTCTATCAGCCAGTCAAGGCTCCAACACCTCTGCTGAGGGGAGTTGTCGCTCGTTGGCATCTTCCGCTCGTTCAGATGCTCCTTCTCCTGCTACTCCTCTTCACGGATTCCGTCAGCAGTCTTTCTTGGAATCCGTTTCCAAGAGACAACAGTTTGCGAGCACGCACCCGACGGTGCAGAAGCTGAACGTCCTCCTGTCCAAGTTGCTGGTGCTGCAGTCCCTCCCTTTCCAAGTGGTGGACTCAGCACCTTTCCGAGAAATGATGGCTTGTGCCGAGCCGCGGTGGAGAGTGCCAAGCCGGCATTTCTTCGCCAAAAAGGCAGTGCCAGCCCTGCATTCACATGTAGAAGAGATGGTGGGCCAGTCTTTGAGCATGTCGGTCTCTGCCAAAGTGCACGGCAGCGCCGACGTGTGGAGCTGTAACTACGGTCAGGGACAGTACATGTCATTTACGGCCCACTGGGTGAACGTGGTGCCGGCACAGCCGCACCAGCAACTTGGACAGGTCACGCCGCTTTTGCCTCCACGTTTGCACGTCCTTGGTCCAGCAAAGATGTCCGCCTCTACCACCTCTTCTTCCCGCCGTGTCCTCAGCCGCCACCCCGTGCCAAGTGCCAAGTCCCATTACCCGACCGGCATATCACATGTGCAGGGCGCAACGGTGTCACGCTGTGCTGCACCTGGTATGCCTTGGCGAACGTAGTCACACAGGGGAGGAACTTCTGAGTGTAATGAACAGAGAAATCGACATCGAGATGGCTGTCTCCGCGCAAACTGAAAATCGGAACCATGTTGACCGACAACGGAAAGAACATGGTGTCTGCTCTGCGTCAAGGAAGGTTGTGCCATGCGCCATGCATGGCTCACGTGTTCAATCTGGTTGTCAAGCGGTTCCTAAAATCCACCATCCCACTGCAAGACATCCTTAAAATGTCACGTAAACTTTGCATGCATTTCAGCCATTCCTACACCGCAAAGCACACCCTCCTTGAGCTGCAGCGGCAGAACGGAATTCCACAGCATCGCCTGATCTGCGACGTTGCAACAAGGTGGAATTCAACCCTACATATGTTAACCGCCTTTACGAACAGCGAAAGGCCATCACCGATTTCCTGATGTTACAAGCGGATAAAGGTACTCCCCTGTGTAACTTAGATGTCAGCCATTGGCAGCTCATGCGTGACACCTGCCGCTTGCTCAGGCCCTTTGAGGAGGCCACGCTATTCGTGAGTCGGCAGGGACTATGGGATGAACGACGTCATTCCTCTGTTGCACGTCCTGGAACAAATGCTGTTAACAATGGCTGGTCAGGGTGCGGTAGACGTGGCGCACAGATCTCAACGCCACATGACCCCTGTGGGGGCAGGACAGGAAGAAGAGGAGGAGGTAGAGGAGGACATTGGTGCTCAGGAATTATTGAGTGAAATGGGTGGTTTTTCCACTCAGCGGACAGGAGTGGAGGAGCAGGAGCATCTGGTAGAGGAGGAGGAGGAGACAGAGGACCCAGACGCACCGTGGCAGTATGCTGTGGAGATGGAGGCAGGGAGTCCCTCGCATTCCTTGGCACAAATGGCCCATAGCATGCTCGGATTTGCTTGCGTAGCGACAGCCGAATAATAACCATCAGACAGAGGGATGACTTTTGGCTGTCCACCTTGTTGGACCCTCGCTACCGTTCAAAAATGGTGGCCTTTTTCACACCTGCTGAGAGGGAGGCCAAAATAACGTACTATAAAAACCACCTATGTAGTCAGTTGGTCTCTGCCTTTCTGCGCCAACGTCCATCCTCAGACACTGTGGGCCCTGTGCGCTCGCGTTCCGCTGCCATGGCAGCAGGGGAGGGGTGGGGTGGTAGGAGCAGTGGCAGCTCCACCAGCAGCGGCTGCCTCAGTCTGCAGTCGATGATGAGTAGCTTTCTTCACCAGCGCAGTGAGGAAACTACTAACCAGCCGCAGCAGCAGCAGCATCAGGTGGACCTGGAGCAGGACCTCAAACAACAGGCTTGGGCCTACTTGGACAGCACCCTGCCAACCGAGGTAGACAATCCCCTTGACTACTGGGCAACGAAACTTGACCTTTGGCCCCAACTAGCTGAATTTGCCCTTGAAAGGCTGTCATGCCCGGCCAGTAGCGTGGCATCGGAGCGCGTGTTTAGTGCGGCAGAGGTATTGTAACTCCGCGGAGGACACGACTGTCCACCCAAAGTGTGGAGAGACTCACGTTTGTGAAAATGAATCAGGCGTGGATTAGTCTGGATTTCAAACCACCAGTTCCTGACACAACTGACTAAATCCGCCATGAATCATGCCCCAAACATGTTATTATTTTTTAACATAGGCCTCTGTATGGCCTTCAATTTAAGCTGCTTACGCTTCGCCACTCTGCCATGGGCCCCTGTGTACCGCCTCCTCTTGCTGCTGCCAGGTCCAGAGTGTGTCATGGGTCCCTGTACGGCCTCCCATTGCTGCTGCTGACTTCATCGCCAGACTCTGCCATGTGCCACTTTCAGGTCTCCTTACACTGTTGGTGGGTTCCATTTTGTCATAGGGTGCTGTATGGCCTTCCATTGCTGCTGCCTCCACCGCCACCCTGCGCCATGTGCCTCTGTCGTCTGCTCATGCTGCTGACGGCTTCCGCTTTTTAACCGAGGCCTGTGTTTGGCTTCCGAATACTGCTGCATCCACCCGCCACCCTGCGCCATGTGTCTCTGTCGTCTGCTCATGCTGCTGACGGCTTCCG